ACGACGCCGCGCAATGGTGCGCGGCGGCCTTAATTTCAATACTATCTCTCCAATCCTCTCAGTTTTTGTTCATATAATCAACATAGGCTCAGATATACTTCATATATCAGCTCCGCCCCTTTTGGCAAACTCCGCCCACTCCTATGCCTCCCACAAGAGCCATTTTTGTTCATAAAAAGCATGGATGAGGCCGTAAATGAACGCAAAGACCTCAAACAACTTTCAGCCAAGCCCCGAGTACCTTCGGGCAAGCTCCGCCCCCCGAGTGGCAAGCCCCGCCCACTTTTGAAAAATGCCGGAATTTGCACGAATTCATTGATTCTGGGCAAGTTCAGCATTTTTGAAAAGTGGGCGGGGCTTGCCAAAAGTGGTCGGAGCCGCCCTGCCCACCTGCATTTTTGTATCTCACGCATAGATGCATGCATACATACATGCAGCCAGCTTTGAAAGTGCCGGAAAACGGTTCGTCCACAGGGACAAACCTTCAAAAAATGGCTCGTCGTCAACGTGTTAATTAATCAAGGTAACATTGGTCTTTTAGGCTTGGAAAAGTTTGAATGGGTACACAAGATTTCAATCGCGGGAGTGGTTTCTGTTGGGTCTTCGCTTCCCCACCAAAAATCCTGGGGGTCCGCCATCATTGCGATTTAAATACACTGTTTTATAATTGCATCCTTGAAAAAAATACGATTATATTGGTTTTAATATAAAGTGAAATTTCCATTTCTTTCGTAATTTCTGTAACTTTGGTATTAACTCTTTCCTTGACCATTAAATGGCAGTCAAAAGTTGAAATCACAACCACTAAGGCTGAGTTCATACTGATTCCCATGTTCTGGAACTGTTCACGCACAGTTCTTGTACTGTGCTGGAACTGTGCGGGAACAGTCCGGAACTGTGCTGCATGTGCTGCAGCTGCCTGCACCGTTTTGAATGGCGGGAGTTGGAGAATTTTGATCGTTTCTAACGGTTTTTCTTTCAGATTTCTCTCATTTTGGCCTTATTTCTCTACCCCGCTTCCCTCCCTGATGAGCAAAACTTCGAACTCGAAGCGGGATTGAACAACGAGCGCTTTTCTGCTCTGCGTATACGACAAAAAGTGTGTTCTTGTGCTCGTCCATTCTCTCCTCGCTATTTTTGCTCAAAATTACTTTATTTGTTCCAGGAAGGGGCTGCGTAGTTTCCAACCATCTGCCACGAATTAGGGAGTAGGAGCAATTCTGAAACTGCATGAATTGGGACTTGTCCCTTGCTTTTGATGATTTTGGGCGTTCTCAGCCTGTTTCCTTTTTCCATATCGTTGCTTCTTCGTCCTTTCTTCAACCCCGCTTCTCCTTCTGATATGAAAAGCTGCGAACTTTAAGCGGAGTTGAGAATTGAACGGTATTTTGTTTCATGTATCCGGGAAAATGGGTCTTCGTGCGCTCATCCATCTCCTCTGCCATTTTTGTGCAGGTCTTCTCAATGTGTTCTAGAGACCTGTCTATATCAATTTCAATACAGATGCGAGACTACGCAGCGCATTTCTAGAACACATGAATCTTAACAGAAATAACGTAGAGAGAATGGACAGCGCACGGAGCGCACGAAGGCTCATCTTTCCGGATACATAGAGCAGAAAAGCGCTCTTCAACCCCGCTTCGAGTTTGAAGTTCTGCTGATCAAAAAGGGAAGCGGGGTGGAGGAATAAGGTCAAAATAAGAGAAATCTGAAAGAAAAACCGTTAAGTGCAGCGCCTGCAGCACAGTTCCGGAACGGTTCCCGCACAGTTCCAGCAAGTGCGAGAACTTTGCTGGAACAGTTCCAGAACATGGAAATCGGTATGCCAGCCTAAAAAACTCGTATGCGAGGGGGGAAAGGGGGACGAGCCAAAAGCAACACCAAAATCACCATTTATTGCAATAAAAAACCACCCATTCAAACAGCAAGTTTCGAAATCGCTAAGTTATTAGAGCTAGCAAAACGGTCGAAATGGAATCTACGTTTCAATCAAACATAACCACGATTGAATCGTTAAAGAAGGGGAGGGAGGGGAGGAATGGTAAAGGAATAAGGGACCGTCAGCAATCGTACGAAAGCTTTGTTTTAGCTCATTATCATTTGAGTGAATCATTTCAAGTAATGATGAATACGATACAACAGATGCCGAGACGAACAAATGTCATACAAAACTGAGACTGACATAAGCCGAAGTGGGAACCAGCCAGTTAAGTCACTTGAGTCATGCCCGCCGAGTTCAAATTTGCGAAAGAGAAGAAGAGGGAGACTGTTACCAACCCAACGAGAATGTCGGCATCTCCAAAGTTGAAACGATGCTTACTTCTGTGGTGCAAGTACAAAATCTTTCCATTCTTTATTAGTATAATATTGAATAATATTGACGCAAAGCAAGAGAAAACGCATAGGTCCAAAGGTAATGCGAAGCCGCAGTTGTCGCACAGGAAAGTGCTGTCAAGCGCTTATGGAATTTGGGGACTGCGCCTTCACAAGAGACTGCATCCCTGTGGAACGAGGTAAAAATCCACTAAACTCTCTGATGGTTACACAATAAAGTGTAATCATTCACAGTATGGAATTAGATCGCAACTTCCTTTCCCATTGTCTTGTGGGCTGGTCGCTTTGCGCAGATGGCAAGATTGTAAATATAGGCACATGTGACTATGCGAATTGTAGACTTGTGGGGCTATGAAGATGAATTTGAGTTAAATGAAACGGCTGTGGTGCGGAAGGCGACAATCCTCAAATTTTGTGCCTTTCAAAACTCACCGGTGCTAAAGTAGCACGGGGCCAAGGGTAGGGGGATGTGGGGTGGGGGCAGACACATGACTCGATGCTACAAGTGAAATTCTGTAAAAGTTAGCAAGAGCGATTTTACACTGCTTGCATTTTCCTTGCATTGTCGCCTTCCGCGTGCTCCCTAAATGAAACAAGTAAACCACAAATCGCGTCAGTATCCTCTCGTCTTTCGGATGTACATCAAGGGGATGAGTGTAGAAAACGATGTCGTCCCAATTGAAACCCGATGTTAACCGTCGTTGTTACGAATTCGCTAAAAGGTGGGGAGAAAGTAGTATACTGAGCAACGATTCACAATTTTGTTTGGCACATCTTTGCAATCAGACAGCCAGTTAAGTATATCCGAAACGTTGTTCATTCCGCAATCGCTCCGCTGTACTCTAAAGTAATCAGTGTTCGGATGACGACAACTAAACTAGCGCAGTCATGCAAAGAAAGGGAACAATCTATAGTGCAGTACAACGATTTAATCCAAGCCCATAGATCATTTGTTAGTATAATGGCGCTCATCGTTCATCAAAAAAGTCGCCGGAATGCGGCGACTCCGTCGGAGTGCGCTGCAGTGCGCCGGAGTGCGACAGAGTGCGTCACACTCCACTAGAATCTGCCGGAGAGCAGCAGAGTGCGCCGCACATTACTAAAGTCCGTCGGAACCGGCGTCGCATCGCCATATCTCGCTTCAGAATGAACGATTCGATTCAGCTCGGCGAGACGCATCATCTAGTATACAGGAATGTCACAATCTAGCGGGATATGATAGATACAGTGCTGGACATAATTATAAAGCCACTTTAAAAATCGCCGTAATCGTTCTTGTCAATGAATCTGTCTGAAACTTTGCTGTATTGTGCGCATGTAAACCTACCATGACCACTCAGAAGGCTTCCAATCTTCTTGAGTTTGAAAAAAACGAAAAAATCCGAAAAAGCCCTCTTTGAAAGCTGGACAGAATTATAAAGCTACCTGGTTTTTCTAATCACTGTCGCTCTCGTTGACTCTCAAATTTTTTTGCGCAATTACATCCCAAAATATGAAACATTTGCAACACCTACAGTCTGTCATCCTACTCAAATAGAAGCGATCACTGCATTTTTTGCTTTCAAAAGCACCAAAAGTCAATCTGTTTCAACAAACAGCTGGTTTGAAGAGTTTTAAAGCTCTTGTCCATTTCAAATGATGATCATGGAATCTACTGACCTTTCCGGATAGATGAGTTGAAGAGCGCTTTCGTAAATTTTGCGTAATCGCTGATTTCGACGGACAGACACTAGCATCACCATAGGGTTGACGCACTTTTGCACCACAAAACTCAATTTGCAATGTCCACAAAGTGCTGAACTTGATTTACTACATTGCCTTCATGGGGAGGCAGCTTTCGCAACAACTTTCAGATTTCCCCTAATGATGCGGTAGCCATTCAGACCTGGAATACTTTCCACGAAAATTCCCTGCGAGCAGAAGATTCGACATAACCCTAAATCTCCTTATTTCCCCCTGTGTTTCATGTCATATTTCACTCGATGAATGAGTTTAGCTAAGAATTCAACGTTTTAAGCGCCTGCGGTTTTATCTCATGATCTGAGTTGGCTTTGATTGTGCAGCTCTACTCAACATTCAGTGGATGTCAACTGCGGCTGAACCAGAGTGCTCAATCCCGAAAGTTTGTCCCAGTCATGCACGCGAGTTCACTGTTGTATGGCTGAAGCATCATTGTATTCAGATCGTCAAGGCAAATACCTTGATGTACAGCATGCTCTAGATCAGAGGTGCGATAGCTGAAGCCGGGCCCCCCAAAAGTAAAGGTGGTTCCAGCCAGGGTCAAGCGGGGGGTGTGGCATACGATCGTCGGATACGAACCCTCCCCCCCTAGGCCAAACTTCCGCACGACTCCCCCCCCTCTACTCCCCCATCGCTCCTGAGCTTCACTTCACAACGGCTTTTTGCGACTTACAACAAATTCGTACAAATCTTCAATTCAGAAGAAATAGCAAGAGAAAGGAACCGCGAAAAAAGTTTAAAATTGAAAATTTTGCTAATTATTCAGGTCGATGATAGAGATGCTGAGCACGGAATAGATTGCACAATCCACTCTGTATCACAATATTAGAGGAGAGAGAACAGGGCAATTAAAGCGTCCTTAAGTGAAAAGATACACCCACTGAAAAAAAAACATACACCCCGCACTTTACCTCTTCGTCACTCAGCTAGAGCACTGCTTTGGCAAAATGTTCACCAAATACGCGCACTCCCAACTTGAGCAAAGCAGCGGGGATAAGCTCGAATCTAAAACATTAAAGTAACGAATGTGAAGAGTTTTAGAGTTTAGAAACCGACCGATGTGTATGCTAGACGTTTTGGAAGACAGGAAGTGACTTATTTGGAACATATGTGTTCGTGCCTCCATCAACATCGTGGTACCTGAAGCAAGATCATGAAAAGTCACCCTGAAATAGAAGAAAAAATGATCTATGGTAATTTCACCAAGTTTCCACTTTGTTTTAAGAGGCGATAATCATGGAATTGCAAAAAAAACGAAAAAGGTAACTGACGAAACAAAATGATTCAACGGCATCAACTAAAAGCATTTCTTACCGGCCATAAAGGCGGCAGAATTGAACGAGGACCTCCAGGATGTATTGTGATACAAAGGGAGCAAACTGATCAAGAACTCGTTGGGTACAGGTCAATGCACAGAACTAGATATTATTTCAGATCAAAGGCATAAAACTATTTTCAAATCAAAGACATAAAATAACATTACTTACCAACAAATACTTACCATAGGCGTTGAGCTGCCGAGCTTCTTCCCACTCAAGGACTGTTGTCGAACGCGACGACGCTTGCTAGCCGCATCTTCCGACTGATTTGAAGAGTCGATTGGACTCTGAAGTAAAAAGACGACGGATACTAGCCGTAGCAAGTTATAAGAAATGTAGATGTTTTCAAAGATACCTTTTGACTAAAGTAACACTCATTGAGGATACTAAGACAAGCTTTTAGCAATGTAATTGCAGACACCATAGTTGTTGTCATATTGTGTGACCTGCAACATAGCAGGAAAACTTGGTCATGCAAACAAAGAGGAAAATTACTACGTACCTAATTAGCTCTCCACCAAGAAGCAGTACATTTGCCACCAACGATTCATCAAGCATTTGATACTCCGCCACCTAAATAAAAGAATAACCTTATATATAAAGCTGAATGTCTGTTTGTCTGTATGTCTGTCTGTCTGTCGGTCTGTGTGTACGCATGTTCCGAATAGAAATTTCCATTTCTGAACCGATCCGGACCAAACTTGGCACACATACACTTCGAGCCCCGGCGGGTGTCATAGGCTACTTTTCGTCATCGATCGCTTTCGATTTTATCGATTTTTTGCAAAATTTGAGCTACGGAGCTGGGAGTTGGCATAGGGGGGGGGGGGGGGTGATCGAACATGCTGATAAGGAATTTAGTAATGACAGGGCCGGGCGGAGCCGGGTAAGTCAACTAGTGAATGATAAACCTAAGTTATTCACGGAACTGACGATGTCCATGCATTTGCTCACTGTTTCAGCAAGAGACGAATCTGTGCGACATGAAAGACGTTTCGCGATCAACTTTAGAGTAAAAGCGTCATTCTGACAAAGTGTGATCTGAAATGTCATGATAACATGATAAGTTAACAAAGATTGTTTTGGTTACTGTTTTGTTGAACATGCGATCCACCCATGCATCTTGCCTCACTGGTGGCGACGAAAGATCTTGCTCCTTTACAGTACACGATTTCTTAGGCAGAATTCGCTTGAAAACGCCCAAAAGTGTTCAAATTTCGTTAAACTTTCTCGCACATGTTCCGCACTAGCTTGAGAGCTCTCGGTCTCTGGGAGAAAGGCCTCATATAAGGAAACCGACGAAAAGAAGTACAAATTCTAAAACTGTCGCAAAACAATGGCAGGCAACCGAATTATAAAGCTTGCCGCCTTTCTGCATCGTTTACGCATTAACGCAAAAAAGCGGCAAGATGAATTTGCGTGCTACCGTAATCCGATATTTTGGAAGCCGCACGATGGATGGTAGTTAGTAGAATAAGCGCTATATCTCATTTTGTGCGGCAAAGTTTTGGATGGAAATCTTAAAATCGTAAACATTCAACGGCTTTAAGGGTGAGTCAATGGGGTGCCCCCCCCCCTAAAAGCTGCGGCGGCGGCAGCTTTTAAGGGGGTGTGCCGCACCCCATTAACTATATCAAAAAATAATTTTGGCGGACAGTGTTTATATGAATCGATAGCATAAACCTTGTAGATTCCATAGAACTGTTTGGAGCCTGATTTCTCTGCTTAGCTCGTGCCGCACCCCCCGTTTTACCCTGGTTTCAGCTACCACTGACCGGCCAAAAGTAGAAGTGGTAGTGCCGGACACTCACCCCCCAAAAACGTCGACGGGGGGGGGGGGTAATTAACGTCGACTGAGCCTATCCTTCCAGGTCGTTGCCGCTAGTGCGCGGAAAATAAGCAAACAAACGCAAAAAAAAAGATTATGAAAAGCATATTTTTATGTATACGGCGGCATATATGTATATTTAAAATAAACGTCTTTAGTAAATGGTGTGTTTTGAAGTGAAAGTCAGCGAGACTTCACAGATTTTATCAAGTAAATCTTGTAACGTACTGTGTAGGAAGCAGATCGATCCAGGCAGTAACCGCCGAGAACCAGAATTTTGAATAATAAAATAACGATAAATTATCCGAAATTTCCACTTTTATAAATCTTGCGGTTTGAGAATCAGCAATTGTAAGGCTCGGCATGGTTCCGCAGAGCAGCTAGTGCTGAAATTGATGGAAATGTCTTACATAAGGTGATTGGTATTCGCCGGCCTTAACGAAGTCAGTTCCCAACAACTATTTATTAGCAAGGAGACAAACCGTGTGATCGAACAAAACGCAAGTGACCTCTCTAACTAATATGGATAAATTGCTGAAGATCGTACCTAAGCCGTCGGCCAGCGGCGATGAATCATTATGGCCGATACCGGATAAATACTAGTAGAAACTGTTAACTATGAAACTACCAGACAAGGCTAAAAGAGTTTGGGAAAGAGCTTAGAAAACTACATCGAGTAAGGATGAGAGAAAGAGTATAAGTTCGATACACAAATGCACAACCAACACTAAAGGCTTCCTACAGTCTTTTATATATGTTTCTACTAATAGATGCAAACATACGCGGTTACATAAAACGTATAATAAAAACGATATTCAATTTAACATTGCCTAATTGAAAATACACAAGCTTCCCAACGAGTCCAGTTTTCTTCGAGGGTTTTTCGTAGGTTTCTTCTCTTGTCTTGATAATTAGTTTTCGTCGTATTCAATGTCACTCCGCTGCTACTCGTTATGTAAACGTAAAATCCGCTGTCCGTGCATGTGATACTTGGCAAAGCACATTACATAAAGTTACCGAAAATTTCAAAAATCTGATTTTTTAAAGCAAATTAAACGTGGTTATATTGCATAACTATTGCTTATTAGCAATCAAGTTCCAATCCGCAAAAATTTCAAGAGTTTTCATGTTTTTGCTGCAGTTGCGTGTTTCATGACTTTGTCAAAAATCGAGACCTCCGAAGAAATAATTTTTTGAAGCTAAAAACAGCATGTTAGGAGAATCTAAAAATATCAACTTGTAGTCCGAGAATTGTTCTATTTGTGCCATACTCAATCATCTCCGGAACATTGGAATGAAATTTTTAAAAAGTAGCCTAACTTTGGGCAGATAAAAATGACGAGAGAAGATTTGCAACAATTATCAAAAAAAAGCATACAGGTTGTGGTTCGAAAATGTAACCGTAAGAAAGAGAAGAAAAAGCTGCATCGAATGCATTTTGAAACTCGTTTGGATCTTCACTATGCGTGGTTTTATAGTGGTTTGAAAAAACCGACAAAACTTTCGGGACAACCTAATATAAATCTGGAATGTGAAGGTGTGCAATGTTTCCACTTTAGGGGTTTTGTAGTGTAGAAAATTGCTCTATCGGATAGCCGTATCGATCCATCAAGAAACAGCCAAGATTCAGGCTCTCTAAAAAAGGTGAAAAATTTTGAACTTAACAGCTCGTAGTTTTTTCAGAATTGCCTGAATCATGTTGCGACTTCATAGGTCGGATTCTCCTCATCAATTTAGAGGGTTTGTAGTATGTAAGGGTTTCGCGCCTCTAACTGCTTATGCCCGGGGTTGGAGACTTTTCACCCCAAAGTCTGCACTGGCGGTCTCCGGCAATACATTAACATGGGCGAGGTGGAGACTTTAGGGTGAAAAGTCTCCACCCTGGGTAGAGCCGCAAAAATCATTGAACCCCCCACATATCATATATCATCTAAAAGCTCTTGATGAGGAGAAACTTTGCAACATAATTCATGCAATTTTGAAGAAGTTATGAGCTGTTGAAGTTCAAAAAGCGGGTTTTTACCTGTTTCTTCAAGAGCCTGGATCTTGGCGGTACCATGATGGATCGGTACGCTAAGGCATAATCCGATAGAGCAATTCTTACCAGGGCTCTGCACGAGCTGGCACTAGGGAAATTACAAAACGAAGTCCCGTTTGATATTGAAAATTTCGTACGAAGTCCCTTTTGACCTGTTTTGAAAACCCGTCATCATTTTTATATTATGTAAAAAATGTAGTAGTGTTCATTTCTAATTCATGAAAGAACTTTTCACAACTTTCTGAGCTTTTTAAGTGATCGAATCACATCTTGAGAAGCAGAAAAAGCCGATTTTTCGACTGCGGAGCGGGCCAAGTGGTTTTCAAATTGCTATAAAACGCTGAAAAGAGAACATTATGAAAATGTTTCTTATCCGTATGTAATCTTTTACAGTGTAGATACATTTCATGTAAAAAAGTATGAAAACTTATGTGAGCAAAGTGTCGGTGCCAGCTCAGCTGACACCCAGCTGGCACGGTGCCAGCTAATTCAGAAAAAAGTTGGGCACAGCTTTTTGGCCCGTAGTTCCGGACCACCAGCGCGCACGCACACACCAAATTTGGTGTCATACTATTGCGTTTCGGCTGAAAACAACGCCTGGCATGCCGGCGGCATTTTTGCGGCAGTTCTCCGCCTAGGCCCCTGTGGAAACGATATCCTTTTTGTTCTCCGCCCTAAAAACGATATCCAGCTTGACCCGGTGCCAGCTGTGCTGAGCCCTGATTCTTACACTACAAAACCTGTGAAGTTGCAACATTGCACACTATCTCATCCCAGATTTATAGGAGTTTAAACGTCAGCTGTCACTAGGTAACCTAAAATCACTTAATTTTTTAGAATTCTCGTTCTCGGCTGCCACTGCTCAAATTGACCTAATTTTTTCACTATCTGGTAGAGCAAAATTAGTCCTTCAAAATCTTTGAGGTCGCAATTGATGACATCTTCGACATCCAGGTTTATAACAGTGGAAATTTCGCATGATTCTTCGCTATTTTATCATTCGAAATTCTGGTTCTCAGCGGTTACTGCCTAGATCGACCTACTACATAGATATATGCTCTCTATTCTTTCTTTTGCATTTCTTTTGCTTATTTTCCTTCTTTTAAGCTTCAGCAAAAAAAATTCAAAACCAAAAAGTGAAGGTCACCCCGTTTCAGCTCTAAAGTGAAGGTAGGCGGAGAGTTGGCTCTGACTATCGCACCTCTGCCCTAGATATTCCGTTTCCAGTTTTCTCAAATTTTTCTGTGGAGTTCCTTTCGCTAGGATGTAACCCAATGTCTGTGTAACATAAAAGATTCCAGTAAGCACTATTCGATAATATACTTCTTTAGATTATTGTGCGCCAAAAAATAGGCTCAGGCTTCTTTGCAAAGGAGATAGAAGCGTTGGTGAATTCTGAAAAGATCACGCGTTTTCAAATTCCTCGCCATAACTTCCTTCGAAATAAGTATATTTTGAATCCGAAACAGCACTATGCTCAGCTCATCAAGGCAAATCTTTTCATTTACAGCATGTCCTTGATATTTCGATTTCAGTATTCTTGAATTTTTCTGCGGAAGTCTCTTTGCGAAGGTGTAAAGCAGCGAGCATTTTCCCGACTAAATTCCAGCAAAGACCTTTCAATAGTACTTTTTGTGTAGATTATAATGCGCTAAATAGTCGACGCAGATTTCTTTTCAAAGGAAATAGAAG